GAGGACCCTGAGACCCGCAAGAGCAAGCTCGCAGCGGAGTTGGCCAATGGCAGGCTTGCAATGATGGTCACTTGGTTGCTATCCAATGTCCTTCAACTGCTTGTGGAAGTCCTGATAATCATCCCAACCAATATGATTCAACAATTATTTTGGGTCCTCAACTTACTTCCACCCAGACATGGAATACACAATTGAAAGCAGAGCAGGATGGTTTGCACAGTCACAGGGCTTGTCGGGAGTGGAAGCATATGTACATCAGTGTTCTCCTTGTATAGAAATAAACATGTGGATCACCAGCGGCATTTGCCCAGAAATAGAATGACGTAGATCCTGACACATAGATCCTGTGCGAAAGATTTCTCCATTCGCAAGCATTTGCCAGTTGGATCACTGTGTCAATTGTGCTACGTTTGTCCATCATGTTTAACACTTCCGCTGCTACTGTTGCAGGAAGTGTTCCAAGAAAAGGCGGCATCAGCAGGATTTTTGAAGAGGTTGAACATCTGAGGCGATCATTGGCATGTTCTTCCAAGACGGCCTCACCGGCTCCGCCTGGGGCGATTGGGCCCCTTGGCTTGGGCGCGCTGAACTGGCTCTTTGGGAAACACCGGTTTGACTGAAGGAAGACGACGAAGAGCGACCACAGTCTTCGCGGATGGTGAGGTGGTGAGATTCGTGTTTTCTGTCGTCGGTGTGTGGATGCGGTCGTTGGTGAGATGCGGATCAAGAAGCACCTGGCTCGTATTCAGTCATGACTCCCATGACTCATGAGCGAGGGACCAATTGCAACGGTGGTCAAGAATTTTCCGTTGACCAGTGGATGATTTTTGAAGTAGCCGGCACGACTACTAAGGAAACTTATGTAAGGAGCGAAGTTTCTTGCAAGTGTGGGAGTGATGTTCAGGTGTTGATCAAGGCCCTTTCAATGGTTGGTGAAAGCACACTGTTTGATTCTTCGCGATGTTTTGCTGTTTCGATGCATGTTCCGGGTGACCCAAGATCTCAAAACCATGTTTTGCTGATATTACAGTATATAGTAGGACTCACCGACCATCCCGTTGAGGGCTGCTGAACATATCGATCTGCTGAGAGTAGTTAGGTCGCAGTGGTGCGTCGTTTACCGTTATGCACCGTTGGTCGCTGTGGTAACCCTTTCAGAAGGCCACCCGGATCCTGGCACTTCACTGGAAGTCCGTGTTTCTTTGACCCAGTCTTTCCTCTGGAAGGGCCGATTGAATCCAACAAGTGGTGGACTTTTGATGAAGAATCAGCTTCACATGTGTCTTCCGAACTGAGAGAGGAACCCTAGGAGCTGCTTCTCTCGCACTGAGTCCCTCTATACCGCCTCGCCTTTACGAGCGGGGGAGGAGACCCGCTTTGGATCCACATTCCGAATGCTTGGTGCACAGATCGCTGGCCGGACGAACGACCAACCACCGGTGGCCATTGTTTTTGCTCCGAAACCCAGGTGTGGAGTCGAAGCATGCAGGTTTCAGTAGTGAGGATCATGAGGATCATCCGATTCAGATATAGCAGATGAACAGCATCAAACACACATGTTGGAAGTGAAAAGACAGTGTGTTGATTTGTGAACAGTCACTTTCCATGTGGCCAGTTTCTACTTTATGTTTGTTGGATAGAGAATCATAATCATCAGAGATGGTCTCCTGCCTGGGGTCTCAGCCCCACCACTGCCAGATTCTCTCGCGGAGTAGAAGGTGTCCTTTGATCCTGCGAGACGGATTGTTAGATGTGATAATATCAAATGATACTATAGCTTTATTCTTTATTATTCTTTATGCGCAGTCACCCCATACATGTACAGACTTTAAAGCAATATCCTCCTTCTTGCAAGACATGGCTCTTTTATGCCCTTTTCACGTTGTTCTGGTTCTAAAATGAAGACCAAGAGGTTTCAACATAGGGAAGAGCTATAGATCTCCACTCATCGCTTGGATCGCTGTCCGTGGTACCGCGCCTTCACCGCGCTAGGAGGCTCCAACGCCGCCCCCGTTCGACCCGGCGAAGCAGGCGCCGGACACGGAAGAAACGCAACTCGATGCGATGCAGCCGCCGAAGGAATGGTCAAAACATCCTGTCTCGAAGTGGAAGCGTTTGGAGCTCCCAAAGTACTCCAGAAGGGTTACCTCCAGCGATGTATCCGAAGTCAGTTGAAGCTTTTTTCGAGAATGGTGAAGACCACGGCGTTCGAGGACAATTGTGCATGTGAACACTCTTATGATCCGGTGGGGACAAGAGGAGATGGCACAATCCGCCAGTTCGGTGGTTCATACGAAAGACCCATCTTTTCAAGACCTCTTGGGGTGAAAGTCCCTCCGGTGCCCGGCGCGTGTCGCTCCCACCGGGCGACGGGACGGCGCAACCAGGAGCATGCCGCTTTCAGCCTCCCCAGCTTGGTCGTCTCATTCAAGCTTCTGGAACCCAAAGAGTTGGGGACCCAGCGACTGGTTCCGTAGGTTCAAAGTCGAAAAGCCAAACCCTACGTTCGGAAAAGGGAACTCCCATTGTTGTAGTTTTTGTGCCTTTGTTCCATTCTATTAGAGTGTATAGATGTCTTTGCTTCCGAATTGTTCTCCATGATCATCTGAGTTGTGGTTTGGAATCCGTGTCCCACTTGACAAAATATCAAAATTCACAAACAATCTAGGACACACACTACTAGTAGCCAGGAACCATATTCAATTTTTTTAATTGCCACCCCCCCACAACACAAGATCTGGTGAATCCACTTATACAATTATTGGGTGCTTGAAACCAACGCTCGCCAGGTGGGCGCCATGGAGCCTGGGAGCCCTGAGCGTTCACGCCAAGGTTTCGGCGTGAAACGTTGAGGGGAAGACATCACCAGACGTTTTTTCAGATTTAAACGGAAACTCAAGCATGAACCAAGCATGAACCTTGATTCTGAAGCCATGAAACATCATGAAACAGAAAAGATGTTCTCATACTTTGTTATTTTGAGGGATTTTATCTCTGACCACCTGGTTATCTTCAGAGGTCGTGACCACTCAAGATTTGTGTCCCACAGAGGTCCTGTGTGTGGGGAGGGTGGCTCTCGTGACCACCTTGGAAAGCTGGTGAAGCTGCAACACCTCTTGAAGAAGAGCTTTTTGGGGGGAGTGACTTCCTGGAACATGAGGTCACTTGGACAGCATTTGTTCGAATTATTTGTTCGAGACATCATCTGCTGACCGGACCGGACGCGGCTTGGAGTGAGATCCATCAGCGACCAGTGGGGACACAGGTTGGATCCTCAACCGAGCTCAGGGATCATGTGGATCTATCACCGAGCGGTGGATGACTGGGTTTCCGAAGTTGGGACCACCAGTGATCGCAAGCAAAAAGGGTATGGAACACACGTTCAGTATATAGATGAATTATTATATACATAAGGTTTCAGCACATCTAGCATTGTTGATTCTGAATGGCACAATGACTACGTCTTTTCAGTTACGAAACGAAACAATGGTGATAATCAAGCTTAGATACCTACAGCACATTGTCCTTCTACCACGTGTCTTTGAACAGATACCAATTTAGTTTTGATTCAAAGCCGGGTAGTTTCTTGCCATGCTCCTGCACAAAAAGTGTCGAGCCATGTTGTTGCAAGGTCAAAATGTTGTTTGGTGCATATCCTGACATCCCTGCTATGGACAGACAACATGGGAAATACATGCATAGAGAAGGACCTTGAGAAGGACCTTGAGCCATGCCTTCCAGTTTCTTTGAGCAGACTCATCGGTTCTTCTGCATCCATTTGTTTTGTTCTCCAGAAGGGCGAAGCTTTTTCCGTCGCCATGAAGGGCGGAATCATTCCCGCCCCCTGGTGGATGGGCGCAGCTGGGGGGGCCAGTGGGCATTTCCGTTCGGAGCCCAGGCCCCTGGGCTTCTTCGATCCGGCAGGTGGGGCCCGCTTCGGAACGAAGCAGAACGCGGATCCGGCAGACAGGGGCAGACCGGACCCAAACAGGGCCCAGTAGGAAGATGGTCGGCAACGAAGTACCATCGCTAGCAGGTTGAGCAGGTTGGAGGCGCTGTTGGTCACCGAAAGACTACGAAGGGTGAGAGGGCTGAGAACCTTTGATCCCAATGAAGATGGCCTGAGGCGCCGGTGGTCCTTGTAATGAGTGCTGGTAATGGGAGCCACATAATGTATGTGATGTCATTTAAAAGTGCTATCGGCTATCAAAAGGATTTCCAAATGCGAGCATCAATGCGAGCTTCCTCTTGCTTTGCTACAGCATGAATTAACGTCACAGCCACACCGTTTACCAATGGCGCGTAACTGTGGCCAATGGCTCGCAGTCAATCGAGTGGCCCTTGGGTTTTACCTCGGCATAGCGGCATCGTCATCAAAGGCCTCATGAATGATAACAGCCCCTGATTCTGGGAATGATGGGTCTACCTAGCGCTTCCAATGGGTGTCCAATGGTGACCTATAAACAGTGCAGGGTTCTCCATTGGTAACCCCTTGGAAGCAGCTGGTAGAGTCTTGATTTGGTGTGTTTTTCATGCCTGCAACTTCGAAACTCGACCTTTCTCGGAGAAGATTCGCGGAGGCTTCTCCAAGGTGGGTGACAAGGAGAACTTCCAGAACCTCCGAGCTTCTGGGCACGGTGAGTGGCGGTTGGAATGGAGGTGAGAATGAGAGGCTGGATGAGGTGGCCACCTCGAGGTCTTGGGTTTCTGTATGTGTGAAAGACGTGCAGCCGCACACACAAAGAATTGATGTGTTTTCAGTGTGGATTTGGCCCCAATCTTGCTTTGAACCACCCTTCTGTGCCGTGGCACAAAGAACAAGACAAGGTATTGGGCCAGCCCTCCTCCACAGAAAAATCAAAGTGGTTGTGGAGAAAGACACAAGCAGGTCACACCGGTCGCTTCTTTCGACACCGTTCTCTCCGGTCGGGACACCGGTGGCTCGACTCGTCCCGCCAGAAACTCGGTCGTTGTCTCGACACGTGGTCTCCACACGAGGCGGCGGAGATCAAACATGGGCGCGTGGCCATGATGGCGGCGCTCGGAGCGGTCCGGGCCACCCGGTGGACGGACTGGACCGCGCGGCTCGGTGAGAGGCGGTCCGCGTCCATGTGCGCCGGTGCACGATGTGAGGTGGTGCAGCACTACGTGAAGTTCCCCGGATTCGAATCTGCCTGGAGGGCCCAGTTGGAGAGGTAATGGGTCAGAATAGAATGTTAAAAGATGTTAAAAGTAATCAACGAGCGCTTGGCCTCCAACCTAAATAGCAATGGCCTCCCCCTAATTTTATAGCGATGGCTTCCAACCTACTAGTGATGGGCTCCCCTCATCTCTTCCTGCTTGTGTGTCACCTTCAAAGAACAACACCAACCCGACGCCAGATCGTTTCTCGCTTCGAGAAAACGACCCGTGTCGGTCCGAGATGGGACTCACCGGACTTGCCACGTAGTCGCATCCCCGTCAGGTCCCCGCAGGCATTGGTGCGGTGACCACCCCGAGCTTTGGCTCCGATTGGGTCGAGAGGAAGACTTGCGAGTGGCGTTGCACGCGTTGAGTTCTCTGCCTTGAGGCGAATGGGGTGAAGCTTTTGGGGGGTTTTCGTTTCTCTGTGCACTTTTGGTGAGTTGTGGACATGATTTCAATATTTCAGCCAAAGTGGTGCTTGGGGGTGAACTCGATCAAGACCTTTTCATGACCGAGAGTAGGAGGCGTTTTGAAGAAAACGGAGCCACCAGTGACTCCGACAAGAGTCTTCGTGTGAGCAAAATTTGAATTCAAGGCCCTTCCATTTGGGTGATTGATGGTGATTGATGATAGATTGTATCCCAGCCAGTAAAAGGCAATCACATGCAATAATGGTTATTTGGGGAAAGGCCTTAAGGCATCATCATTCACTGGAGATATGGACATGCCACGATAGGCTTGGGTCGAGATTGATAGACCCCTTAAAGCCTTACAGCTGAATAAGGTATAGATGATATTAGATGATACCGTCCTGGCTCATCATGCTCATCCTGGCTGGGTGTCCAACAGACTACCTTACACTGCTAGACTGGACCTCCATTGGACACCCAGACACGATGATATACGACCTGTAGAACCATCCAGGCTCGGCCCTGAATACATGTCCTCCACTTCACCTGAGGCCTGGAACCTACGGTTTTGCGGTCGGGGACCTGCGGAAACCAGCGGAAGCGGGCGAAAACGTTTAAAACAACGTGGTGTCCAGTTCGTCCAGTTGGTCCTGACAATACATTTTTTCACCTGGCTGACAAGCTTGAACCGCCCCCGACCCTCCCCAAACACACGGAGGGGTGCCGCTCTCGGCCGAAGTGGCTCCTGCGCCGGGCGAGGCGCTCCTTTTGCTCTCGGGTGCCATGGAGCTGGCCGTGTGGACTCAGGAGCGCTCGGACGGACGTGTCGAGTCCGAGTCGGTGTCGGTGTTTTTTTCGGTTAGACACGGCACAAAAATCGGTCTTGCTGTCCATGGCTCTGGGTCGTTTAGGTGATGCCATGTATGGAATTTAGTTGTTTTTTTCTGCCATTTCACTAGGGATTCATGATCGTCTATGGGTCCATGGATATGACTTCAAATACGATGTAGAGAGTTGGCCCTGTCAAGAAGACGGCTCTTCTCTCGAGTCGCCAGACCTACATTCTACATCGGACTTTCATCGTCATATTCCAGGTCAGGCGGCAAGAGTTTGTCCAACCTGAGGTTCCATCCTCAGAGTTCCCCATGTGTCCAAGTCCTTTCGTGTCATTTTCCTCTGGTTCCAATCAACTTCGTAACATTGATAACATCATGTCCAAGCAAACGCTCCATACCAGGACCCTCCGTACGGACCGTGGTGTCTACTTCTAACATCTTCTAACGAGGAGGTGACCGTCCCGGTCGGACCGGGTCGCCGACCGGTCAGGACCCGAACAAGGAGGCGGGTGACTTCGGCGATCCTTTGGGCTGCTGGGCTGAGGGAGCAAGTGGGTAGAGAGTGGGAGCGTTCGTGGGTCCTCCAATTTAGAGGATCCGATCCTCTTTTTCATTCATTTGGGAGTTCCTTGCTTGTTTGTTTGCCTGGCTGGCTGGCTGTTTGTGGAACTGCTAACGCTTCTTTTCATTCCTTCGTTCGTTCGTTTGTTTTAGACCTTTGCAGCCACTCAGCCACCCAATACATAAGACATCATAAGAATGTTCTCTTAGAAGCTGCGGAATGCACCCCCCCGTTCCCGGCAAGAGGTTGGCTCTCATAAGTTTTGGGATGTTATAGGTCGATGCGGAACCAAATGAGACCAACCAGAGTCCCCACTTCAATTTCAGGACACCGTGAAGCTCACGGCCTATCGATTCTTCGTGGCTTGTACATACCTGGCGCTTCGTGGCTTGGGTGTCCAATGGAGTCCTACAAGTGGTAGTGTAGGGTTCTCCATTGGTCACCCCGAACGGAAGCACCGGGCGTATGTCACGAGAAGCCGGGCGCTTCTGCGCCCGTCTCGACGTCTTGTCCTTCGATGCTCCGAGGCCTTGGCCAGTACAACGAGGAGTTCCGCAACAAGGCGCGCTCGGTTTTGTGCGCGCCACCCGGGTGGCGCGCAAGAAGGGTTCGGAAGGCACCGGGCGTTTGGACAGAGTGCACCGTAGTGTTTTCGGGGGCAGGGTATGTTAGGGTCTCTGACTGTGAAAAGTCATGTCATGGGTCAAGACGGAATGCTCTTTGTTGGGCTTGTTGGAAGTTTGCCGTCTTAGGCCTATCTTCTTCCTTTGGAGATATAGATCCACCTGGCCGGACCGTGGAGAAGCTCTGAATCCGCACGTCCGCGGCAGGAGCTGAACAACGGCCGCTTTGCCATGCAGCTGCCTCAGTTGGGGAGTTGGGGGAATGCCTTGACTGCCTCAGTGGGACACACCGAAGCAGCCTCCATCGTTGATCCAAAAGTGGCATGTCTGTGTCCTTCTTGGTGACTTTGGGGTCCTTCTTGGTGGCAGTTGTTGTCTTTTTGGACCAGACACACTGTAGTGACCTTCCAATACTGTACTGTTTCGTTCAAGCTGTCAGTCGTCAGAGATTTTGTGATTCTCTCATTGCAGTGAATCAGGATACAGACGGTGGGAGTCCATTGAAGCTGCAGGAAGCCTGCAATGGTCCCGGGTCCCTACATGACTGTGTGACACAGGTCCAGGTTCAGGTAATTACCAGTCATGACTGCGACTAAATCCGGAAATACTGGGCAATCCAAAACCCTCAAGTCTTCCTCAAAGCCACCTAGAGGTCCTTTCCATTGCCCACGTTCTCGTTTCTCGTTTGGAGAAGATCAGATTTGCTGTCACAAAGAAGGTTTGTTATACAGAGCAATATGTATTTATTGTAATATATTGCCATGTGCTCGTCAGAATCTCAAGTTGTTCATACCCATTTCATGTTTCTGGGATCACTTGTACCCAGGTTCGCAGCGCTCGGCATTATCTCAGCCGACCTGCTGACTGGCAAGGCCAGAAGGGGCCGATGGCCGATTGGTGTGGAGGATCGGTTCAGCTTCTTTGATGTGGGAGTTGCATGGAGTTGGCACTGTATTTTGAACTTACTCATTGATCCTGCATTGTGGGCAAGGCGTTGATTGAATTCTGTTGAATTCGGACACGCAGTGGCAACCCATGGTACCTGGAAAGAAATCTGGAGACTTGGGCATGGTCAACTCCAACAAGAATTCTTTATCAGCACCACCCAGGTCGGGTGGTTATTGGATGGAAAATACATCTTCAGGGCGGTCGATATACCATCCTTTTTGGTGGTGCTGGTAGTAGGGATTTAGATTTAATAGCTATACCGAGGATGTTCAACCAGGTGGTAGGTTTAGCCAGCTCAAATCGGTGCATTTCAACCGCCTACACTTGATGTCGGGGGATGTCGGGGGCCCGGGGTCCTCAACGGATGTGTCCCCCCCTTTTAGAGAGCTTTTTCTTTGCACCTTGTTTACCTTTTGATCCTTAGTTCTTTCTATTTCAAAGACTTTTATGTTGAAGTCCTCATTGTTAAGACCTTTTTGGCGGGAAGATCCAATAGCTAGCTTCTTCTGCAAGTGAGGTTTCAACGATCCGCCAGCGCGAAAGGTTCGCCGCGAAAACTTGCGTATGTTCCTCCCAAGGTTCCGGCCAGTTCACGCCCTCCATCGCAGATGTTTTTTGACTTCTTCCACTTTAAGACATCGTTCGTGGGCCATTGCGTGACACCGTGATGCCTTGGCAAGACACATCCACCAAATATGTATTATACATATGCCATTTCTGCCGCTAGTTCCGTCATTTCTGCACACTCGTTTCTGACAGTGCCAGTCGACAGTTCCACCGATCCGACTGATCTGAACGTGACGATCTGATCCACCAGGATGCGATCCAGCAGCCGGGGAGACCCAGATGATGCGCTGGTGTTGGAGTCCTGCACCAGACTGGTTAAGAGGAGGATGTTTTCTCGTGAATCTGGGAGATTGACTCACTCCAACCACAGGGTCCGGTCGAACTGGTGTCCTGTTTTTGGAATTTTATCATACACCCACAGGATTCCCTTCAGAATTTCCTCAATGGGAGAATTTGTTTGCTGTCCCGTCCGACGGACCGTTTAAACACCGCGATGGATCCGAAAAGACCGCTGAAAACCCACGGCAAGACGTGACGAGATCGAGACCGCCCTCAAAAGTAGATGCCCGCATGCAAGGCTGAATCCAATCCATTTGTTGGGGCGGACACAATAAGGAAGTCGTGTGAGTCCAAAGGTTTTTGCCGAGTGTGTTTCACCTCAGAAGTTTGCAAGTCGTCCAGTCAATGACTGAGTGTTGCAATGATGGCATGTCCACTGAAAACGCTGAAATATTTCACGACAGAGTATGCATCAGTGTGCTCTATTCCCTTGTGGTACCCCCTGGAATCAGTATGCATCAGTACTCTCATTCTATAGATCAACATTGTCAAGCCTTTGAATATCCACTCCCACCATATGTTGGTGGAGGCTCTCCTTGTCCTCACTCGCTTCGTGTTGGAACCTCACCTGGTCTCGAGGTTCAGCTAAGGCTGGGACGAAAGGAAGACGGACCGTCGGATGAGGTTGTGCTGAGGCCCAGCAGCTTAGATGTTCCTGTGTATTTTGGACTTAAGCAACTAATTAGATGTATATAAAAATATATTTATATTAAGTTTTAACGTCCTATAAACTGTACTTTTGAGGAAACATCAGATCATGAAAGACACATTTGGACCCTTGCTGGTCATTGTCCAATAGCATTGAGACCAGGAATGACGGAATCTTAGGATGATTGGGTTGTATACCGTATACATCCGTATACACTTTTAATTTAAGAATACTACCAGTGAGAATCAAATGACCAAGCTTGAGTGTATCAAAACATAGCCAGAAGGGAGCGGCAAGACAGCAAGACCTCTTTTTGAACCTTGCACCAAGTATATAGTTTGGGTCTGTCCTATTACCTGTAACAGTCAGTAAACAAGAACATCACTATTTTTGGACAAGGCCTTTACTAACCACATCCACTGTTACAGGCATTTGGATAGACCCAATATATAGTTCTTATTGTATATATATATTATATATATATATATGTAGATTGTTAATCAACAATGAAGCCCCTGCCAGGGAGAAGTGTTACAGTCCCTGTTGGGGGGTGTTTCATCAACAGTCTACATGAAGTGACCCAGCTTCAGTGGATCTCTTATTGGGGGTTGCATCATTTGCCACTATGCGTCCTCGTTTTTCAACACTCTCCTTGCTCCCTCTCACTGAATCCACCGAAGAGAAAGCAGGTGGATGTGGCTCCAAGTACCTCCTTAGAAGGTGTTTGGATCCTCCTGGCACCCACCCCAGTCCCACCTTCTCAGAAGGTACTTGGAGCCCTAGGGATTGAGTAGATTGTTTCCGAAAAATCGCTCTTCCGACTTCTTGTGATGTCGCAGTCTATTGTCGCCAGGTGCCACTTGGCGCTTCACGGAGTGTTCCGGCGGTTTCACCCATGCTCAGCTGAGCTGCCGAAGCTTCAGACTATTGAAGTACATCCTATGACATGGTCGCGTCATGGATGCCACAAGTAAACCAAGAAACTGCTTCCACCAAACCACTCCGTTTGTTTCTGCAACAACTCTGTGTCGTGCGCCTCGTCGGCTTGGCTCTTGGTTTTCTCAGCGCTACTTTTCGCTCGTCGGCGCTGATCATGTTCTTATTAGATATCAAACCCTACTACACGATGAGCTCGCTCGAACAAAGAAGTGGAAGAGGATGAAGAAATGAGGAACGCTTTGCTTCAAACACTGTTCTTAGAATGTTCTAGAAATAGATGCATGTCCTCTTCTGCAGCTAGCTCCGCTATATAGATATAACTGATTGTTTCATTACTGAGATGTGGAAGGCGGGACACGATGAAGGGTCGATGTAGTAAGTAGGTTGATGCAATTGAACTCTGGCTCAGCTTCTCCAGAAAGCACAAGCAATACGATTTAGCAGTCGTAAAGCACAGTTCAGTTGCAAGTTGGCTACAGGATTCAACGGTTTTACAGTTAGAATACATGTGAGTGTTTTCTTGTGAAACTGTGCACTCTGTCAGTTCAGCAGTGGGTCCAAAGTTGAGGCACAGTTCCTCAGATTCGGTGTTTCATGACGTCCGTGACGGCATGTGAGACCATCAACGCCCACCGACCTTGGAACAGACATGGAACATCACGGCCGCACCGGGCTACAACCCACCTCCCCAAGCCGAAAGCACATCAGCACGCCATCCCAGCCCTGCAACCCACCTCCCAAAGCGTCAAGGGCCCCGTGTTTGCCTTGAGATTCTCCCATCGGAGCCGGCCAGTTCTACGTCGCTGAACTTGCCAGCCATGCAATGGAGGTGGAAGGCTTGGCGGGCCCCTGCCTATTGGAGTACCAGTTGGTGGAAGGAGAGCCGATGGGTTGGGACGCATCTTGCAACCTGCGTCAAACTTCGAACCTTTGCCCGGTGGTGTGGTTCAAAAGTCGACAGTATCTCAGGGAACTTGCAGGTGCCCAACAGTTCAACTCGCTTCATGGAGATTTGCACTTCACAAAGAATTTCACAGAGAAGCGAACTGCCTGAGAGCCGAGATACATCTGCTTATGGGCAGTTCGAGTGGTTCTTCGCTGGCACCAGCGAGTTAAAAGGAAGCAACAACCTTTGCAGTATTGGAACCCAGGATCGCATCCCCCAATGTTAGGTTCATCCCCCATCGCCAGTTCCCCTTGCCAACCGTTTGGAATACATCCTACTTGCTCTTTGGGTGACTTCCCTCGACCTCCTCGCTGGATTGGACCAACGATCTCCAATAAGAACAGGGTGTTTTGATCTTGAACCGACGGCCTTTCCATCTGAAAATCCACGTTCTTTCTGTTGCTCTAGCATTCTTTCAAGTGCATGTGAAAGTGCAGGAAATGGGAAGTGGATGTCATGGAATGCCTCGTGGTTTTTGGCGATGTTTGAGAGGTGTCTTGATCAGCAGCTAAGGCTCCCAAGACTCAACCTCACCTTGTGCCTTGATGTGCCTTGCACATCCGCAAGCCAAGCTTTAACATGCTATAACGTGCTACAACCTTCCCTAATTATTAGATGTGTTTCACGTCACAACCAGACCAAGTGTTTGGTTGGTGATTTCACATTAATATGTTGAGTTATCAACCTTCACTGGAGCATGTGGAGGCCTTTGATGTGTTTAGACACGACATCATGAACACTATGCAGAGCTTGTTGCAAGCGTTGAGAGTCAATATCTATAACACGCGGCTGGGTCAGATGGTAGATGAGTATCCCGGAAGTAGATAGAAGAGCAGTCTATTCTTTGCGCTCTTTGTCGGGTCACCACTCTTGATATCCTGAAAGCGACTCGATTGCCAGAACCATAATCAACGTCTTACTCAGATCGAACAATTGTGATCACTACAGGATGTTTATGCTATACTACCTACTAGTTAGGACTTTTGGTATACGTCTGACAAGTCCTAAGACACTGGTGAGTATATTTGGTGTTTATTTCATGTTACTTCTGGAATCGGAGGCTCAGAGGTCACCAGTTCCTCACGGCAAAAACGAGGTTCATCTATGGAGAAGGATGCGGTGGTGACGTCCCATGTCTGGCAGACTCTCAAGGGGCTCCACTGGAACTGGCCATCATGCGTGGCTTGGTCTGCAAAACGCTTTCGGTCCGCAAAACTGTTTGAAGCTGCGGATCGATGCGGATCACCCAGTAGACTCTGTTGGTCTACGTTGGTGTTTGTGTTTTGTGTGCTTCTTCGGGAGTGAAATGATCAAGTGCTTATAGTGCTTTGATTTAAAGTCACAAAGGCTTCACAGACCGGAAGAACAAAGGCTTCTCCGAACCACCTCGAACTAGACACCCACCAGACACCTTGAGACACCCACCACCAGTGACCTGGACTCTTTCGTTGCTCTTCTACCGGTCACTGACGTGCCCACCGGTGTTCTGTCAGGTCTGCTGACGGTGAACGTGGTGGGACACCACTTGGTCACGCTGCTCCGCCACTCGGTGTGCAAACCGGGTCGACCGCTCCGTCACGGCGCGGAGCGACGAATTCGTGGCGAGGTCGGTTTCGAAGTCGTTGCGTTTTTCATCCAGAACACCCACAGTCATTTGTTTTGCCTGGAGCTACAGGAGACGTTTCGGACCGGTTGCCACGGACATTCTGTTTCTTTGGTCACCATTGGATGACATGAAACCCTCACCCAGAGCTTGGAGGCTTGACTGGCTGTGTGAAGATTGTTCCTTTGAAAACAAACATATACTTCGTTTCCACCTTTCAACCAGCTCGAAGTTCCCAGTCCCAAGTCGCCCTTCAAAAGTACAAACGTTTGCACCCCCGTCTCTTGAGCACATGCTAGCAGCTAGCACCCATGGCTCTGAGAAAGGAAACTCATATTGAGATCAGGTTTCTTTGCCTTCATCACAGCCTAACCAGGTATATGTCCTTTGATTCCCTTTTTCGGGACGATCTATGCAGCCTTGTCCTTCAACGAAGCCTACTTGGTTGTGCAGGCTTGGCACAAAAACGACCGCGGGTCCAGAGAGCATGTTTCAACTGAACATGCGCACATGCTCACATTGAACGGAATTGCGTACCCCTCAGCAAACTCCTGCCAATAAAGCCAACACCACTGTTCAAAGGGAATGCTTAATGAAGCAATCAGAGGTTGGTACCTTTGCTGGAGTTATTGCTTGTTGTATACTTCTCTGCACAGTTTCTTCTTTTAGAAAGAGACTTTGCCCGGATCTTCTCTGTCAGCACATGTTGGCTACGCAGTAGTGTAAGCGTTGACAACTGAGGGCATTCTTTTAATCACTAGGACATGTGCCAATCTCTATGTAGATTGTGTAAAACCATGTGAAACTCTATCCAACCAAGGACCAAGGACACAACCCCCCACAGTCCTCCATGTTTGAAGCCTTATTCAGCCAGTGGGTGCTTTCTTCACACCGACCTCATCATATAGCTTCATGATACTTCGTTCATCCTGCACACGGGTTCATCCACCCCCGTAAACCCCTTGGAAACAAACATTGTTCCATCTGACCCTTTCAGAAACTCCGCCTGGCCTCCCTCAGGCATTGAGCTTGATCTCCATGGCTCAACGTGTGGCGGTGTCCATGGCCAATGCGCATCCAAAGCACTGGGGCACCCGCTGGATGAAGGTGTGGGATGGTGCCGGGGCTCTTCGGCGCCCTTCGTCTGGGGGGGTTCAAAGCTGCTGCGAAAGAACGGCGCTCAGCTTTCAGGTTTGGAGCTTTTTTCGGGGGTGACGCAGAGGCTGGTTGAATCTCTTGCACTGTCAAAAGGACTGAATTGGAGTAATTAACCCATTTTTCTGGCGTTTTCTGGCTACTGATCCTGGTCCAAGACGACCGGGGTCCTCTTCAGGGGCTACCTCATGGTAGCTCCATCGTCCGCCCGGTGCCCGTCGACAGGTGGTGGACAACTACTGGCCCCGCTTGGTGCACGTGGGGCTCGGGGAGACCCGGCAGGGTGTTTGGGAGGAACCAATAGAATCAAGCTGGGACTGGGCCCACCTCACCCTACAAACCATGGGGTTCGGTGTTTTTTTTTCCTCAAAACGGAATCTGTTCATTTTCACGGGTCAACCAGGACTGACAAATAATATCAAATAGATTGGATCGCTTGTTTTGGTTCGATCCTACACAGCTTTTGGTTCGATGACACTAAACCATAGACGGACTAACTCTGTGGGAGATCCGTGGTTTTGTGAATGATTTCATCGCTAGGGTCGAGGGTTGTGACACTCTCCACTCCTACCATCCATTTGCCAACCCTGAAGCTACGATGATATTCCAACGTGTACTTTTTAATGCCCCACACTCAGGGACTCAGTGACCCTGAAGCTACTGCGCTGGCTTTGGAGAATGAAAGCGACGCCCAAACCCCTGCTCAGTCCACCATCCGAAATCGCAGCATGTGTTCCGAAATGCGACAGAACATTCAGTAAGGATATCAGCAATTTGCTGGGACAAGTCTTCCGATCATCCTGTGACCTTCAGTCACTTGGGCCAGTTTTCATTATTTTGTTCGATGTTTGTTTCGGTGAAAAATCACACCTGCGAAGCTTTTGAAGCGAGAATGTGTTTTAAGTTTTAAGGATAAACATGATGTGTATGTATGATGTCCCGTGTCATGTGACTAAGATGTCGTCGTCGGACGCTGTTTTTGCGCATGACGTCAGAATTCTTGACATGGACACCGATGTATAGCCGATAGCAAGAGCACTCGAAAGATCCTCAGAGATATGGGTTGTGCAACAAATCTAGGAGACAGTCACCTAGAGTAAAGGAGACGATTATGCCCCCACGAGAGAAGAATGGTCATTGCGAGTGTTCCGTTGGATTGCTGATGTTCATATAGGCTTCAGTGCTTTCTGAGCTTTGGCAAGACCTGTTGGCTCCTTTCCATAACCCCATTCATGCTTCAAAAACCACTCGAACTCAGTGGTTTCAACAAGGAGGGCCTACCTACCAGCTTCCAGGACGAACGCCCTCCCCACACCATGCGGACCGATGACTCGATGACCGCCTTCTCGCGATGACCGCCTTTGAGGAGAGCTCGGGAAATCAAGTTCTATCACATCTGGACCCATGCTGATGCCTTTGACAAGCCGGTGGTCGATCAAGTTTGTGGCAATCCGTTGGCTTTGATGTCCTACCGAAGTACCAACTCTTTCGAGGAGTCTTGAGCCGCAAGAAGTATAGGTCCCAAAAGCATGTCGTTGGGCAGATTGAGGAGAATTGACCTCAACGTGGGTTTTGATGCTGATGCAGCCCAGGCCAGGTGTTTGTTGTACAGACAGACCGGCCCACGAGCCACACGAAACACTCCAACAATGCCACATCTTATGATCTCCTAGGTCATAACATGAGTCATATGGTCATAATATCCAAGTCACACTCTGTATGATATCGATTACAGTCATCATAAGAGTATATATACCGTGATTACGAAAGACTTTTGAATACTTTTGAAGAAATCGTTCTTCCCAGAAAGATCCTTCTTAAAATATGGCTTTGGAGCCCTAGGGTATATACCTAGACCCCATTTGACCTCTGTTTTGATAGGAAAAGACCATGTTTTGGCTCCAAAACAGGGGTCAATCAGGTTCTAGGTATATATATATATGTGTTTCGGCTCGCGTCTTTTCCTCGGTTCCCGAAGGATGGTCCCCGAGGAGTGGCTGAAGCTCTTCCAGCGACGCGTGGAAAGCCGGCCACGGATGATGCTGGTGGACCGGGCGATCGGTCGACATCCACTGGATCATGATCTTCCTTCGCGCGTGGCGACCGGGTGCCTTGGATGGGAGGTAGGTTTTGGTGTTCCGGAACCGTGCGAAGGACAGGGAGCGAAGAGCAGTTGGGGAGAACAGGGGGAGCGAAGGACTCACCAGCTTGGTGCTGCAAACGCGTAAGTCACATGGTTGATGGATTGATCTACTACTCGGTTTTGTTGGTTGCAGTTGAAAGGTGAGACGCCGAGGTGCCCTGTTGTGAGGGCCCCGACACAGTGCCATGTTGTGTTTCTCTCAGCGGGGTCTCATGCAATGGGAGGAGCACTCAGTTGGTTGCAGCTTTCCCTTGTTCCTTTTGAAGGTTCGCGTGGCATGGACCATGGAGTGACTTCCTCCTAAGCTTGTTTAAGACTGTCTCAAAGCATACACGAACGCATGCACACTGTTCATTGGACAACAATTGATGTTCAAATATCGATGTATAGAGAGAGAGAGAGAGCTCGGTGTATGCCTTCGTGGTAAACATATATAAATATACGTACCACATATATATATATATATATTCTTTTTCGTAGCTCTTTGTTGGCTGCTTTGAAGATATCCAAGGTATGGTGTGGACTCTGCGTTGTTGGACCTCTTTTGGGCACCTCCAAGCTGTCAATTCTGGAGCCGGCCCCGAAGTGGCCCCTGCTGCAGCCCGGCGGAGAATGGCGGTCTGGTGGCTCACTTGAGTAACGACAAGGGAGAACGGATTCTTGCACGCTCACTTGTTGACAACTAGACACCATCCATCCTCCTCCTCCTCATCATCATCATCATCCTCATCATCCTCATCATCATCCTCATCATCATCCTCATCATCATCGTCATCATGTCAGGTGTCAAACTTGTAGACAACACTGTAATTTCTTTTCTTCCTGGCACCAAAAGGGCCGTCGACCTGGCACCGCTCCGCACCCCGCGGTCGCACCAAAACGGCCGCCGCGCGCTGTGCGCGGTCGGATGCAGCGAGGTGCAGCGATGCCTCATCGAGTTCTCGGGCACTTCCAGGTCTTGGAGGGCTGCGAAGAGTTCTGCTGTCAGCGAAGCTGTTGGGGATGCATGCAACTCTGCATGGAAAAATGTCTCCGTACTGGCCAGAGAAAGAAGATCCAAGTCTAAGTACTGCTTGGATATAGTTGGTGGATGTTGGTGGATTGGATTTGATTGGACAACCTTGCACCCGGGTTGGATGGACTTGCTGTGTGATGCGAACCCCCAAGACTGCTTAACTTGGCTGTATACATGGAAGTCATCCAAGATTCTTCCAAATCGTTCCAAAGAAAGGCGCGCAAAGCACGTTTCCACTTGGTTGAAGTGTTCGAATCGTGATTTACTTCCGTCCAAGAAAATGGAAGAGTAGGCTGACGGGCCTGCTTTAGGGCCTTTAGGCCCAGTTCAAAAACCATTCTGTGCCTCACCAGCTCTTACTCTTCACGACTCATGCCATATATGCATGTTATTAGGCTCAGACAAGAACTCACACAACTCGTGCCACGTTCGCGTTTGGTGGCCGGGCCTGGGCCCCAAGGCAAAATGGCACCTGGTGGACTGCTTTGGCCGGTTGCCGTCCCTTGCACTATCTCAATTGCACTGTGTCACAAAACCATGGCTCGAGCCCGTGGGGCCACTGGTTCGTCACTTGGGTCCTGGCTGGAAAGCGGGATGACTGGAGAGACAAAGAAGCCAAGAAAGTGAGTACTTGTATAGTGATATGACAAAGTATTGAGAAGTGCCACAAGCTATGTTTTGTATTGTTGTTGTAAAAACATTTTTTTTAAGGGATGTATGTTAGTTGCCATCATTTATGGAACTGCTGGAAGACTAGGCTCGCATCAGCAGGTCCAGGCTTTGAGTCGTGGTCCTGGTACTTATCGATGGAGATCGATGCAGTGACTACATGGCAATCATTCCCCATGTTGAGAAGAACAATGAGGTGGATTCGGACTTTCGAAAGAAGCCCTAGAAAGGCGATTTGAACACCACCCAGATGTTTGTCCACCCAAGAATGGAATCGACACTCAGTCGCGGGTTTTCTCTCCGCCGAAAGGAATCCCGTTCTCGCTCCGCACGGAACCATTGGAAAAACCATGAGAAGCCCAGATTCCTGGAATAATAGGCCCTCCTCCCAATGATGGCTAAGATGCAACACCTATCGAACTCCACTCATTTTGTCTCTGGGAAGACTGAACCGAGAGTCCGGGGGGAGCATCTCCCAAGTTTCTGGTCTAAAGAAAACTCAGGTTGATAGTCATCCAACTATGCGTTTGTTTTTGTTCAGCCATGCGCTAGCGGCTAGATAGCGAGAATGTCAAAAATGCCAAATGTCAAGATGACTGGTTGTTTGAAGGCTATCAACTGACAATATGACAATCATGGATGTTCTATGGTCGTCCCCTCAGTCATTGGGGGGTCAATAGCAAGTCATGTTACGTATGTGCGTATTCCTCGGTGATGCAGAAGCCCAACTCGCAGTCGTTCTCCGCTGTACTTTGACCGAAGACTACTATGGCCCCCTTTTTTGTGCCTCAGGTGGATTTGGCAACCATCCCAAGAACCACCAGCATTTCACCGCGATGTCCAACCTTTCTCAGGAGTTCGGTGTTTACTACGGCGCCACCTTGCAAAGCACTGCTTTGCACCTGCTTCGTGCGACAGCGACCGGCACTTCCGGCACGCCCGGCACGCACCACCCGCGCGTGGTGGGCTTCGACTCCTTCCAAGGCATTTCAGAAGCATGGAGGCCCATGGTGTTGGGGTGAACGATGCACCCAAGATGCTCATCTCCTGAAAAAAGCACCACGGGGAAAGCGGGCAAGCGGGCACCGCACCGACACGAGAGGCCCATCGCTGAAGTCCTGAAGTCGCGGGTCCCTGAAGGGGGCAGGACAAAGAAATCACACGTCTGGATGGCCCCAATCAGTGCAAATCGCATCAAATCGAAAAGGCTGAATACATTGGAAGTTTCGATAAGGCTCTTCAACTCGGTACCCTCCAAGTCTGGAGTCTGCAGGGCTATCTAGGACACAACTGTTGGATCATTTCGGCGAAGCCGTTTTCCTTGACATGTTTCCCTCTATCTTGGACTACCCATTTGCTGATCCCATCCCAGCGGCCAACGGGATCCTTCCGGTTGAAGCAAAAAAGATCGCAGGGAGTTCCCAGAGTTCACCTTCAGCACTGAGGGCGAGGCGAGGGGGGACCATGGACCCGTGAGGGTTTTTTGGTTTATTTCATTGGATGAAATAAGGTAGACCTACCAGGGATGAAAATAGGTGGCCGGCGTTGTTTTCCATGAGTGTTTTTTGTGTTTTCTTTGCACACTAGAAGTCTAGACTTGGCGAGGTTGTATGATTGTTTGTCTATCTCAAACGGTTTAACCTTTTGTTGAGACGTGGCTATGAGTTGAGGCCTAAAGAAAAAGCCTTCCTGTATATGTCGCTTTCCAACCGTGATCACCAGTTGAGGCCCTTTGAAAAGAGTCGGTTTAAAACACATTTCTTTGGAACAACCGACCGAAACAAGTTCAAGGAAGGACGATCAAAGAAGACCTAAGTTTGGCAACTAAAAGACAATGCCAAAAGTGAGCAATTAAGAATCAACGAAACCTACTTCTAATCGAGGATTTCCCATGACAACCTAACTTTGTGATGTGGCTAAGGGACGAGCACGCTGTTGTTTCTATGGTGCTGACCCTGGACATAGGTGCCGATCAACTTGCCGCCCAATGCAAAAGTTGTGGTCGGTTGGTACAATGAGACCCTGCCGCGCTTTTTGTCCACCTTCAGTGCCAAGAGAGACTTTATTGAGTGGGTTCACTTGGACTGCGATACTTTCCTGGGACTGCTTTGCTCAGCATTGGCGAAAGGACATAAGAGGCTGTGGCTCTACACCACCAAGAAGGGAACACTAATATGGAGATGTTTCTGTTCATTTTCTGGGCCAATATGGCGTGTCCGTCCCATAGTTTGAGCCACGGCCCCTGCCTTTTTTAATGTTAGTTCTGTGCACGTCTCTTGGGGCTTAGAGCTTTGATGAGCTTTGTGTCACTCTTCAGTGCTGTTGAAGAAATTGGCCATTTATTTTTTTCAACTGGGTGGAGGCCTCAACATGCTAAAGTTGGACGGAAAGCAACAGCTTCTAGTTCTGGTACAGATCACATCTAAGGACACCATGAAGTTCTTTCCCGCTTGAAACCTTACCTGGTACCGGGCTCTGTGTTGGTCTTCGATGATATCCTGAATTATCCTGGCTATGAAGATCACGCCCTGCGTGCCTTCTATCAGTTCATCCAGGACAGCTGACCTTCCAGTAGCACAGAAGTCGCATCCGACCACATGGTGGCAGCCGATGATTCCAAGGTTCTTTCGCACCACCTTAGGTATCACGGGGTCTGACAACGTAAATGTTGCAGGGATAAACAGTGCCTACTAATTGCAATCTTGTCCTGGACTTGGCTGGATTTGGGGTTCGGTGCTTTCTCAAGAAATGACAAAGGCCGAAGGCCGCCAAAGGCCCCTGGCCACACTCTTCAATGACGACAGTCCCTAGGCGATGGCATCATGAAACGCAAGACATGGTGGGTTCGCAAGCCAGATGCATCGACATGCAATGCGCACAACGACGTTAAGACATTGGTTCTGTTGTTTTGCATCCAAGAGCTTAATGTGGGCACCAGATACGAGACCCAGTGGTGCTCCTCAGAAGGTATAACCCTCCAAACCCTCCTCAAACATCTTGTAAGGAGGTACTTGGCGCCCCAGGGCAACACAAAATTCTAGGGGTTCACGCATACAGCACGAGACCCGAACGGCGCGAGCACGAGTCCACTGAGCTGGTTCTTGAGCTGGTCGAGGGAGCGACGTAGCGAACTCGTCGTACTGCGTCGTCCGTACGGAGCGCGAACTCGTCCGACAGGACACACGCTGGAGCTTCGAAGTCTTGGCAAGTCCTTGGCGGATCGACTGGGCGAGCGGATCGAAGTGGCTCAGAGATGAAAGAGAAGGGCTCAGGACCTGAAGATCTGTTTTGGTTCGCCTGTTGAACAGGATCTCAAAGGTTTTCAGTTCTGGCTTACAGGGGGAGAGGGCCTCATGAACTTTGGAGGTCACTCGTTCGCCTTCACGGCCCGATGGCCCAGCGCCTTCGCCCACCTGCCCAGGCCCAGCAACGGTCGCGCCCAGTCCGCGTGGTGGGTCTCACGGATGCGGGCCTTAAGTGTTCGGCTCCTCTCCTGTCCGCAGAAGGGTCATTTGAGGCGAACCCTTCGGGCAGACCCCGTGGAAGTGGGAAAAAGGCCGGTGCGGAAGGTCTGGAGACCGAAGGATGGTGGAGATGCTGAACAGGTTTTCGGTGGTTATGGTGGTTTTGGTTGTGGTTGTTACTTGTTGTACATAGCTGATCATAGTTGTTTGATGCTGTTTGTTTGTTTGTTTGTTTGTTTGTTTGTTTGTTTGTTTGCTTGGTTGGTTGGTTGCTTGCTTGCTTGCTTGCTTGCTTGCTTGCTTGCTTGCTTGCTTGCTTGATTGATTGATTGATTGATTGATTGATTGATTGATTGATTGATTGATTGATTGATTGATTGATTGATTGATTGATTGATGATGATTTGAAGTGGGTAGTTGTGGAGGTGTGCGAAATGGATACAAGATGATACAGTTATATTTAAAAACATTTAAAAACACCTTGTTGAAGAAATTGTGAGTTGTTTGTAAAAAAAACTCTGATTCATCCTGCAATCCATTTCTATGAAACTTTTGTTGAGAATGGAAGGGTGGCAACTACCCCTCCCTCCGAAAAACACGGAAGTGGACAACCTCCCCTTAACAGAGGAGTATAATAGTCTTCCAAGTGGCTATGGTCCACTTCCATCATGGTTGCACCGCACTGATCGGGAACTTCTGAGAAGTCCTCATCTTTCAATCCATCCGTGGGTTGACTTGAACCGCGCATCTTGTTGGGGGTTCTTATAGAACAGGACACCTGCTGCAAATTACCCGTGGTATCCCGTGATCCTTATTTTTAAATGTTCGATTATGTTCGAATTGTTTTTTATTCAGAATAGATGTTAATTTTGGGCACTGCATTTGGGTGTCACAGAGTTCTTCACTCCAGTTCTTCACCCCCTAAAAGGAAAACGTCTCGGCCTCGGCGAAGTGTTTGGCTAACCAGCTGCAGGTCGGTCATGGGGTTTGTCATCAGTTCATCACTCGAAGAGCACGAAACAGGTCGATCATGGACGTCACCTGGACCCACATCGCCCATAGAAACGACATGTTACGAAGAGTAAGAGGCCAACAACAATTGCCATAGAAACTTGGAGCTTTGTTGCTTTGTTGCAGCCACGGATTCCAAGTCGAACCTGTCTTTGCTTGCCTAGCCTAGCTCCCTAGCTGGGTTCTTTCTACGTACTCCTCAGACGACTGGAACGAGCGTGTTGCACATCGAAACCGAGCCCACAATGGAGCAATTCATGAGCTGCTCCGTCCATGGCGTTTCTGCTTGAGGCGGCAAGAGGAAACGTGTTTCAAGGAAGACTTTGCTCAACTTTTGGGAATGCCAGATGGCACAGTCCTTCTGGTTTGGCAATGTCAGATGGTTTTCATGTTTAAAAACACAAAGCTGAACCCCCTCTCACGGTCAATTCGCAGTCCAGAGCATGTCCAAAAAGATCAGACCCTCGGTGACCAGACAAAAGACACCACTGTGGGGGCCTAAACCACTCCTTCAGCTGGTTCTGCGCAACCCCGTAGACCGCAGAACCAATTCGACCGGGTCTAAAGTCTCATACCGGAAGACCACCAGGGTCCAAAAGGAGGCTTTCCGCGGGCCCCACGGAGCCGAAGATGTCCTGCTCTTGACCTCCGGCGTATTCGGTCGAAACGCACTCACCGCCCACGGGGGGGAGAGGACTGTTGACATCGTCTTGTAGGACCAGAGGACCAGTAGGCCGCAGACGTGGTCATTGCCTCAGACATGGAGATTTCAGGTGTTTGAGGCCTTGGGAGCTCTGCAACTACTCGTACCATACAGGCTGTTTGTGTTGTTTCTGAGTGTTTACGTCTGTCCCCCTTCAGACCCTCCCTGGGACAGAGGAGCTTTGTTTACGCGTCGCCGGCCTGGCGGCACGTGGCACGGGCGACGCGCGTCGCCGGCCTCGCTGGAGCCGAAGTGTCGTCACCGAGCCAAAGTGGAACCAGCTACGGTTCTATCCCTCCGAGGACGCTGAAAATTGCTGTCACAAGAGTCTTTGGAGGAACAAGAGTCTTTGGAGGACAGCATGTTGTTTTGCTCCAGATGGGCGAATCTTAGCTGAAATGCAGACCGTGGAAGCTGCTGGGCTTCAAGATGGAGACACCATCACGGCGGTCAAGTCACCATTTGCAAGACATCATTTGGAGTTCATTGGCCACAGCAGATGGGTCAGTTGTGGCAGCCAGGGATAGAGAAAGGTCCCAGGTGAAGACTCGGCAGAACTGCGGTTTAAAAAACATCCACTTCCGAATGCGAAACAGATTCAATCCGCAACTGGCGATTGGCCGCAATCCTATGCATTTGCGATGTGATTTCCCTGTGGACCCTCCAAAAAGTTTGGAGGCTGGCCGATTCAGTGCATAGCAGTGCATATGATGTAGCCGTGATTCAACACCTGGCGGTACTGTGAGGTGAGGATTGCTTGACCAGCGGGACTGTGCCACTTGAGGGTGTTTTGACGTGCTTGTGGTGGCGTCATTTGGCCCAGCATTCTATTTGCGGCGTCTTTGGACCATTGCCTTATCAAATCTGGTTTCTCGCAGAAATCCGCCGAAAGCATGCCAGGGGTCAGTTGCATGGGGTGAATCCAGGTGTTGACAGTGGTGACAGTGGTGACGGCAGTTTCTAGTTCAAGGAACCGAAGGAACTGCTGGTTGATGCACAATTTCAAGGTGAGTTGCATGGAATGGTCGGAGCCCATCCTTGATGGATGTAGTAGATGATGTTCTAATGATTTCTAATGTCTTACCAGTTATGTACCGATTATGTACCGATTGACGTGGGACTGTGTATTAAAGTTTCGTCTTTTGTGACCAAAGCCGATTGGACCAGGGGGCCTCGCATTGAATGCTATTGAAATATATTGATATTGAAATTTAAATACACATTGCGCATCTGGGGACTCTTTTGAACTCATTTGATGATTTTTTTTGGGGGTATGCTTGATAACTCACTCACCAATACAACATAGCTTCACGCCCGATGGGGGTTCATATCGAAAAGCAGAAAGCATCAGAAAACTCAACCCACTTCTTCCACAATTGGAGGTATTTTTGGGGTGTTCAATCTGACTCCTCCCAACACCTCGCTACAACACCTTCCAACACTTCATCTCCACCTCTCCACTGACTCTCCGTGGGCCAGGCATTCTTTGGCCCATGTCGCCCGGAAGCTGCATGCTCCAACTGCAAGGTGGACCTGCGCCAGTCGTCGACCGCGGTGGACCGTGACTGTTCTTCTTCCCTCGGTCTGGACCGACCGTCGAGCGGTGTCGGTGTGCGGTGTCGACCGTGGTGGGAGGTTTTTCAAGCTGTGCTTGTGTTTGGAAGGTGGTTGTTAGTGATATCATTGGTCCTTGGAAGGTGGGCTTTGGGGGTCACAAGTGAAGTTGGACTAAGAAGCGCCTCCTTTTCGGCACTCTCATCAAGTCGGTGCAAAAAGAGACCATCGGACCATTGTCCTGTCACCCCGAACTATCGAACGCGAAACACATCCCATGAGGTACATCCGGGTGTACCCAAGACCCTCCAAAAGGATCTAAAGAGTCTCTTCTGTCTATTCCAAGATGTCGGTGTTCAAACTTCCCGCTCGTGGCCGCCTGACCCCAGTGCTTCACCTCCTTCAGGAGCAGGAAGCCGAGCTGCTGACCTCCGTGCGGCCCTGAACGGGGAGTTGTTCCAGTGCTGATTTGACCCTCCTCGGGTCCAAAGAACAGGCCGTTTCATGCAGTGGTCACTCGGATTTCAACGTCCTGAGGTTTGTCGCTCACCGTTGGTTTCAATTGGGTGGACCATATGGCGGCTAAGACTCACAGTTACATTTCCCCCCCAAAAGAAGTCACACTACATCATGCAGTGGGGTGATACCAATCGGAAGCAAGTCTTGATACGCCAATCAGAAGATTCAGAAGCGGTGAAGTTCTCTGAATGATGTAAAGTAGGCCCTTCCCGAAGAAGCAGAGGCGTCATGGTTCAGGTTCACCTGGTCATGTTTCCACCCACCCTGCTCCTTCCTCCACACTCTTTGGTTGGTGTTTGAGAAAGACCAACCAGGAGAAGCCCGAGAAGCACCGAGACATCGCAGAGAAATCGCCCACTGGAAAGAAATCGTATAACATATATAAAAACTGCGATGTGAGACATCGCTGGCCCTGTTTGGGTTTGTTGTCATATGTTGTCAGATTGAATCCATCCAAAAAGTTTCTGAATCAGAGCCCCAACTGTTCACGCCTCCCAGTCATCCAGTCATCTCAGTCTCAGTCTAGGCCCTCATCGAGAGGCTGGAACGCGTTCGGGCTTCCCGAAGCACACGGTCCGCGGGAGACGCGGTCGCGCGCGGTCTCGATGCGGTGTTCGGAGGCGGTGTTCGGAGGAAACGAAAGGAGGCGCTTGAGATGTGAGGGAAGCACACTGTGAGTTCGACAGTAAGCGGGTTTCGAGGCGAAAGAAGGGTGTGTCAGTTCTTTCTTCATGTGCTTATGGTACATCTTCTTTGGACAATTGGTACGACTGTAGGGTTGTTCAGCAGGAGCAAGGAAACAACTTCAAATGTTTGGCATGTTGCACTATTCCTAGTGAGCTTGCTTTGTTCATTTTCACACCTTGTCTTTGCCAGGGCTAAACCAGGTTTTAAATGTTCGAGACTTTTCGCGCTAGGCTCACGCTAGGCTCGCGCTAGCTCCGCGCTAGCAGAAATTGCTGAAATGTGTGCCCGGTAGTGCACGGCCCAAATGACAGACCCAATAGTGTGAGAACAAAAGGCGCAACGCTCCTAGGCAAAGTATGAGCGGCGGTAATTTTTTTGTGGCATGATTCTTAGGATTCAATGTGAACAGACTCATCCAAAATTCTGGAGGAGATGTTTGTCGGTAGATGGAATACATCAATCGAAGTGAAATAGGGAAGTGCGGAAGTTTAGACACTTGACATGGCCTGGAGACACGGCAAATATCCAGATATGTCCCGATGGTTTGGTGCAGAGTTTGGTGCACCCTATGCTCTGGTTTGATTCGATTTAGTCAACTCAGGAGAACACAGACCTTAAAACCGGATTGAAGCGGTTGCCTTTGTGTTGTATCTGTTCCTCCACAGTAAATAGCACCTGATGGTGATTCCAGGCAGTTTGGGAAGAAAAACCCCTCTCCAACCCATGGAAGTGGACGATCTGGCCCCTTCGAACCAGAAAAGATAACTACAACATACTACAACATCTACTAACAGGGGGGGCTTCTCCACTTGGGTGGATGGGGGTTACAGTGCTCCCCTGATGACCATGGACCCCCAAAGCCCCCCCCAGCCGAATCGCTGAGGCCAACTCTTCGGTGGAATCCCATCCTGGTCAGCTTGGAAATCAGGCGAACTGGAGGTCAAGTGTGAGATCAGCAGACCATATTCAGACCACTGGGTTTTAGGGGCCAGGCAGGAGCCATACTACTAGTAACAAGAAGCTATTAGGGGCTCCTGGCATCGCTACTAGGAGGAAGGACACTCCTAGGGGCTCCTGGCCTTACTACTAGTAACAAGTAGCTATTAAGATATACTATGCTTTACTGAGTCATGTAGGTTTCATGTCATGTCATGTAGGTATACATGGAATGAAGGTGTCATATGTCATTACTTGAAATTCACACATGCGTGGTTCTCAGGACGGTCTGACACTTTGAAATGGGAAAAGCAGATCTTGTTCCCTTAAATTATGGCAATCTTGGCTTTCATGTTTTTGTTTTTTTTTTTGGTGAGTTAGCTGCTAAACTGCAGCCTAAGGCTCACATTGCATTTGCATGATGTTTTAAAGGCTTGTTGAAACTCACATTCTATCTCACCCTACCAACGGTGATGTCAAGCGATGATTCCGCCACCGCATGGTCCGGAACGAGCCGACTGAGCGTTGTGTCAGGCCCAGGTGCGCAAAGGTTGGGAAGCTCAGGAGGAACAGGTGAGGGCAACCTTTGTGAAGGAATTTATTCTCCTGATAGGATCCCCTAGTAGCTTCTTGCTCCTAGTAGTAAGGCCAGGAGCAGGTCTGGCAGGAATTTCTGGGTCATTTACATGGGTCATGGGTTTGAGCTATGGTTTGAACACAGAAAGCAGGCCTCGCAATAAGGCAGGGGGCTGTGACTTGTGGATGTTGATTTGGGTGGTTGCTTTCCCTTACGAGATGTGTTTACAGGTTCACAGTGATAACCTTTCCGCGCGCCACGGAGGAAGTAGGTGGAGCTGTTGGTTACATCAGGAACCGGGCATCCGCTGTGAAAGGCATCCACCAAGACCGGAAATTCTCTCGTTTCCACGCAAGGCAGTATGGGTGCTTTGTCTGGCTTAAGGACACTACAGGCACGCTTTCTTTTTTCAGCGTGGGCAGTCAGGGAGTGGATCAGTGATCACTTGGTCTATCACTGGGGTTTGTAGTGAATCTAGTCCTGTTAGCCAGGCAAGAGAGTTTATGTGGGACTTATAACAGAAGTCCTGGACCTCTTGGCCAAGACAGACCTAGAACCCATCTGAACCCTTGTGGATTCCAAAGCAGCTCAGCTTCTGGGCAATCAACCGCCTCCTTTGCCCGAGGGTGTCGTGGGTGTCCCCTGAATACGGTGTCCCGCTGTCGCACATGTCATGGGCTTCTGAGCAACACTCGTGACCGGCGAACGAGCATTGAGGAACCAGTGCCCACACTTTCCAGCGGAACCGGTGTCCACTCTGCTGGTGTTCCAAGAGACCATGCCATGTTCCAAGAGACCATGCCAACTCATGTTCCAAGAGACCATGTTGAATGTTGATGAACCAACACCTGGATTGTAAAACCCCTACTGTAGGAAGTATGAAAGATCAACATTCAGAAAAACTGAGTCTACAAATGAGGAATCACTGTGGCAGATGATTCGTCTAGAAACTATTTGGTATCAATTACTAGGTGTGTACAATATGTATATCATTGTACATATATATATATATATACCAGGAGTCACAAAGGGGTGGTGTTTGGTCCCTCAGTGAGTGGATAATGGGCACCCTCAACCTCCATGGATCGCACCCCTTTGTGACTGCTGATATTTACTTGCTGTAACTCGCCATTGGCGAGTTTGACATATGGTTTTCTTGGTCTTTATGGGGAGATCCCCTGTCCCTGGCGTCGGGAACCCGTGTTCTCTCGGGGTGGTCGGTTAAAGGTCGGCCACGCGTGGACCGATGGATGGTATACCTGGGGGGGGTGGTATGACCTGTTTTTTTCTCAACATGAAGATGGAGATAGTATATGATCATGTACATCACATACGTGGCTCCGATGTCCTTATGATTCATGGAAATATCATGGTATATCGGTATATCATCAGTCATCATGGGGCATTTTGGATGATGGTTTGATATGGTTAGATATGGTTAGCCGACATCTAAAAGAGCGATGTTGACTGACTGAGACCGACTGTTACTAGGCAAAAACGGACAGACAGTGAGCAGTTCGGTTAGGAGGGAGACGGAGTGCTATCCATGAAGTCACTGGGTGCGCACATCCATGGCCCCTGGATGGGACTAAACGCAACACCACCCAACTCCAGGTAACTCTTGGATCAGAGTTCCGCAGGGTGAACCCCTGTGCCTTGCCGCCAGGTGCCACCCGAGTTCGAAGGGGCTCAGAAGCGAGTCCTCCAGGCCGAAAAGCACAAGCACAAGCACCCGTGCGGCAACCGTTTGGGGGGCGCCCGGAAAGCTCCAAAGGTGACCGGCGTGGACCTCTCTGAGGGAATGAAGTTAGAGTGTTTTCATCTTTACAATGTTTTACCTTACCGTTTTGGGCGTCTTTGTGTCAAACAAAAATACAACCGTCACTACGTACGGCTTCCCACCACGGCGGTGGGAAGCAGGTCGGCGCTTTGGTGGTTGGCCCGAGGATGTTGGCGAGCATGCTGTGCTTCGGTGTTACACCAAACAAATCGATGGCATGGGCCGTGCAGACATGGCATGACTGGAGTAAATCCAGTGTTTCTTGGTTCTTTCAACGGACTTCATCATCAATTTCGTAACTAAAGAATGGCCATGATCAGTGTAGTTTTGACTGTTCACCCAAACAGAACCTGTCCCACAGAGTCTGATCATGCATATCCATGCATATGCTGCATATATTAGCGACCGGTGCTCCGTATGAGCGACTTCAGTGACTTGATGCGGGTTGCGCATCAACAGACAAGTGACGTTTTCCACTTGTTCAACAGACAGCTAGAGAAAAATTCATTGAAAGGCGGCCACGTCGTTGGGTTTCTTTTTGTCTCTTCAGTCGGTCAGGGAGCCAATGGCGATCTTTCCGCGGCTTGGGCCAAGCAATGTCATGGGTTTGGGCCAGGCTTTGAACGAGAAGAGGGCACCTGGTATGACCTGATAAGACGACCGGAAGGGAAGGTGAAGATGGTGAGTTAAATTCTGGGATGCACCTTTTTGAGACATACAGATGTGGATCTAGCAGCCTTACTGGCATACGTTCCCTGAGTGATGTTACTTTGCGGATAGGGCGTTCCCTGAGTCGTTGGTTGAATACGAAGACTCTTCGGTCGCGCGTGGAGTCTTCGGCATGCGGGTCGGTCCAACAAATCAGAGGGTCGGTCGCTGTTGCCTCTTCGGATGGGATGCCTCGATTCCCAGATGGATGGGATGCATTCTACTTTTTTGGGAAACAATGGATGCAGGTGTCCAGTGGTGTCCAGGCTGGCGCCAGCTAGCCAAGCCATCCACCAGTCCCCCATGCAGTCGTCCGATCGATTCGAACGAACAGTTCTCGTTGCATCGGCCCCACGACATCGGTACACAATCGAGCTGTCTCCACTCCTCGTCCATCTGGTTGACTCAAAAAGAGCCAGATCAATCATGTGAGACCATCTAGGGACCATCAGGTGTCGCCAACCAGACAGACAGACATCATTTTGTCCGCCCCCGACCAGCAGAGATTTTTTAGTCAGCCACTACTCAGTCTTCATTATCCTCGGTTGGTGGTCAAATTTATGTTGAGTAGACCTGGATTAGTGACATATTTATCACTAAAATGACGGCCTACCTTGGCTGCTGCACATGGATGTACAGGGGTTGGCTCCTAAAAATAGATTAGTGATGACTCACCATCAATTTTATTGGAGCAGACTGGGGTTGATTTTGAGGTTGGCCCTACAATATTTTATTTTGCACGTGGGTTGGATGCTGCTCATTCTATTTCAGGGTGCCAACCTTAAAGGCCCCTAGAAACCTTCAAGCGTTTGCTCAACTATGAGGCTGAGGTACCAGACCCCCACCTGCACCAGACCCCCACCTGCACCAAGCCTACCCACCCACGTTGGCTACCCCCAATAAAAACGCTACTTGGAGGTCGGCTACCCTCATTAATGAGGGTGGCCGACCCTCACTGGGAGCTACAACCGGGGATCTTCATTTACATGTTCGTTGTGAATGACAGACAGCGATGCAATGCGCGAGCTTATTGAACATTCCGTTCTGAACATGGAACAGGCTGTCATGTTCAACCAAGAGTATTCAAGCCTAGAGTAATACATCTTTCACTAGAGCCAGCTGTCGTGATCTCTATGTTCCCATCTGCAAGAAGAGAACCTACGACAACGATAGTGACAGAGGATCGACCCTCATTGAAATGGTCGTACGGCATTCGGAGCAACTCCTTGTAGCTCGTAGCTCCGTGGCTGCTCCCAGTGAGCGCTGTTGACCTTGGGTCCTGTGCACCCAGGATCAGAAGGAACAACAGCGGTGCCTGCAGGCGGGAGCGGTGAGGATGACCCATACACATCCATACACCCACATACACCCATAGCTAACTCGAGTTTTTCAGGGATGGTAAACCTGGTAAATGATTATATATATAGATATGATTTTAATTTTGTGTTGTGTCACCTAATGGTGACAGCGGTGTTTCTGATTGAAGTGGTATCATAATAGTTCGGTTCTTGGTTCTCACAAGATCACCCAGGTCTTTCGCATGATTCCAGGGGTTTCTTTCACAAGTCCATTCACATCTTCTGTAGTAGTGTTTGATGTGTTTTGGAATGCCTCTCCAGTGATGCTCCTTTCTCATCCACCGCCGGCTGCAGAATGCGACACCGAACTTCCCCGACACCAGCATCCGAAGCTGCTCGGAGGTCTGCGTGCGTGCCTTCACCAAGGCACTCTTGCAAGGCGTCAACGTTTGCGCCCGGACGCCCAGACGCCCGGAGGGTCAAAGCGCCAGACATGGGAGCTAGAACTGCACTGGTTCACTTCCAGAGGGTGTCATCATGGTCTCCGAATTTCTGGCCACAGCTGATTCCAGGCCCACCAGCTTACGCTCCCTGATTATGGTTGAAGTTGCTTCCCTGTTCTCACTCATTCTACATACTCTCAGGAGTCGAGGCTTCAGGCTCAACACCTCCACCTGGAGTTCAGCTGCAAACTTCTTTTTCATGATGTCTGTGTGAAATATGGTGAAATGATTCTGGAGCCCGTGTCTATAAACACTTAGTGAGAGTTTGGGCTGACATCACTTTGCGGATCGTGCTGCTCGATGCTTGAAAGAATCATGGTTACGTGGATGGCATGGCCCCTTCGGATGAGCATGTTTTTCCTTAAAGAGAAACATGTTTGCCTTTTTTCTATTTTTCAGGGAGTGCAATTACATTGTACAATGTCTCTATCTGAGCAGCTGAGCCTTGCGGACGAACCGTGGGGACATCCGATTGACGTGACGACGAAAGCTTCGTCCGATGAGTCGGGAGGGTCGTATGGGGACGTCGAGGGTCGTATGGAGTGTGGATCCGGCCCAGAAACTGTGACACAACAGGATTGTGACACAGGCGCGATGCTGGTGGTGCAGCATCGCGCCTGTGTTTGACCTGCCTTCCATTTGACAGTGCTCTACTTGGGTGAGGGGTGGTATGATGCTCCACAATCGCCACGGTATGGTCCGGGCATCCAATTTGAAAAGCTCCTCAAAACCAGAGACTGGTAGAAAGAACACTGAGCCTCCCGAAGAGTCCACTATTTAGAAGTCCATGTATGGCAAGCATTGACAGCGCCCGACTCAGATCCAAGTGCAAGGGTCCAGATGGACTCTATATAGTGGAAAGGTGTCCAAGGTAAATCGACTTCCAAGAACTGGGGATCGACTTTGAGAATGCCCGGAGGGCCAATATCAAACCCTAAACCCCAGGTCCACCATGTAGCGAACGACCTCCCACGTAGGTCAGCCGAAGGCCTGTGGTTTTTGATCCACAGCCATACAAAAAAGATAAGAAAAGACTCTTGACTCTTAATTTGTAATGACAGCCCCAATTGAATTGAAGAAGTCTTCATAGGATTTCATAAGGGGGTGGTGGTTAATCAAGAGACATCATAAGGTCTTCCCAGATCGTCCCAAAAGCCCTCGGGTGATCGACTCATCCCCGGTCGACCCGTCCCAGGTGCTCCTGGATGATCATCGGACACGCCTGGCGGAGGCGACCGGGACACGGCGGTGGAGAAGACACAGGTGAGAGACTCCATATTAGATCATGCTTCGGTGAAGCATGTGAAGCAGTCCGGAACTCTAATATGAATCATGGGACGCTCATAGTGAAGCATGCAGTCTCTGCAGCACGTGGTTGTCGATGTTGGCCACCAGATCTTCGACCGGAGCGACTCCAAGCGGCCGAACCAGGGCTGGATCGAATGCGCCCGGTCTCACAGGTGGTTGGGGATTCAAACCTCCATGGTCGAACGGCTTAGTCTGAAAAGCTTCACATGGATCCTGAAGAAGCACTGGGTGGTCGATGAGAATCATTCTTCCACGGGTCGTTTTTCACGGTCCATGTGGTCCGAAATCAGCTCGGCCCCCTTCCTTGTCCGCTGAAGCGCTGCGATGGATGTGGCTGTGAGGAAGTCAACCTCCCCCAGCAAACCATGAAAAGTAGGTGACATGCCGTGTGATTATATTGTACAACTATACATTAATAGAGAATTATTGACTATACTATAGAATACTATAGAATTACATAGTAGGGATTTGTTCATTTTCAGTGGTCAACCTTAGGGTGCCTGGGTTTTGCTCACAGCGTGGCCTGGCCCAGGCGCGCCTGGATTCGGATCTCACCCACTTGGTGCTCCATGTGCCCCACACGCAGCACCCGGTGGCCTTGAGGCGCGGAGCTCGGGGAGCCAGAGACGGCTGAGATCGATCTGAGAGCTTCGGTACGGTGTGTTTTCCATGGTTCTAACGTGCAAGAGCGTAAGTTGAAATCCAACAATATACTACCATATAGATACCTCTAGCCAGAAATGTGAACAACCTTTCATATCTTTCATATAGCACCTTTTGGAGCATCGCCGTTCCGGGGAAAGCTGCATGGAGTCATGTTCAATCCGCCAACTTGGACTGATCCCTCCGAGACACAGCCAGGTGCATCGAAGGTGTGTCTTGTCCAACTTCCACTTGGCCGACAGTGAGCTACAGCGAGGACTGGTCGATGAGGGTTGGGTCGAGTGATGTCCTACCCAGGTAAAAGTGAATATATACATATAATATATAATATTCTTTCACATTCTATAAATAACCTTTTGGGGGGGTTGAAATACATGAATGAGTGTGGTCACAGTGTGGTCAACATCTTTCTACGTGGTCCTTTGACTGGCATGTTGTGCTGTCTAATTAGTTTTCTAATTCGATGTCTTTCTTGGACCTAGATGGTGCTGATACGACCTGTGTGTCTGCAGCACGACAAGTCACAAGACTTGTCCAATTGATCGAGAACAGGGTTTTTGGGCTTAGAGCGTTCGCATCCTACACCCTGCGACGTACGGAAGAGAAGGAAGCCTTGAAGTAAAACTCTTTGGAGCAGAAAAAGGACTCCAAAACAAGGGTCACTCATACTTACGAGTATACTTCATTAGCTCCAAAAACCATCCAAAAAAAGCCTTCAACGTCAGTGTGGTTCTATTTTATAGGTGTTCGTCATGCTCCGTGGATCTCCGTGTTCGCCACTGGCCGCTTCAACTCCTCGAAACTGCAGGGTTTCGCCGGCCGTGAACGGTGCCTGACATAGCAGGCCACTCTGACGATTTTCGGTGGGCCAGGAGCCTCGGTTCTTCCGGTGCCGAAGCGATCGAAGCGTTCCAACACGCGTACCACACCACACCGGTGGACAGGGGCGGGGTTTCGACGACGACGACGGTGGCGTGGGGAGGTTCGAAGTGAGTCAATTGAAGAACCTTTTATAGTTGATTGATTCCACTGACTCATATTGTTCAAGTGAGTTGAAACCGGTTCTTTGCAGATCGGAAGGTCGCCCGATCGGCAGATCGGCAGATGCTGTACACCGACCATGACGACCTGAAAGCCGACCTTCGACGGGTCCATCTCTTCCATTCCCAGATGACATGCGTACATTGACCCCTGAAACCACCTCGATGTATACTATGTTAGCCCGTATAGCCCAGAGGCTCACTGACCCTCAAACTCTTACATGTTTGAGGTCCCAAACCTTAGTTGTGAGGGTCAAAACCCTAGCTGGCAGTGAGCCGTTGGGAGCTAATCAAAGGGCATATAATATAGACTTCCCAAGTTGACTCTCGAAACCACTCCCCATTTCTTCACATCTTTCATTGGTTCTCACCCCCCGTCCAAATCGCCACCACTTGGCCACTTGGGCTCCGGGCTGTCGAGCTCATGTCCATTGGATCGTGTCTTTTTTGTCCGGTGGGTTTGCACACCAAGAGAGGTTAAGTGACCTTATAGGACCCTACTGGGGTACCTATGGGATAGTGGTCCTTCAACCTCTGTTTGCACCATGAGTTTGCACCATCTTCCTTCGACCAGGCAGTACTTGACCTTTGTCTTCGACAACACTCGGGTGCGGCCCACTTGGCGTCGTTCCAGTGGCGTCGAAGGGCCGAGCAGTGAAGGAATAGACAGTAAACTGCATCCAGCAGATGTCATCCGGTGGACACATGGTGATATTCCAAAAGGTATTTCAAGATGGTAGAACAACAAAAATGCCTTGGTTATATACATCCATGATACATCCATGATTTGTGGGCACATGATGTGAAGAAGCTGGATCTACTGCACTCCGCGCCTCAATCTTCCCCCCAACAATCGAAAGACGTCGATGTTTCGAACCTTCGAAGCTGTTGACCAATGGTGCCGTTCTTTTCAGGATCGAAGCTCGGACTGTCTCATACAGATCCATAGAGCCATAGAACGTGTATAATATATATTATATATATATATATACATAGAGAGAGAGAGAACACATCAGTCATTCGACGACCACTGTCTTTCTTATCGCCTGGCTTCAGCAAAGGACGCGTATCGATGTTTCACGACCGTCCTGTCGGTGGACGAGCTCTGGAGCGTTGGAGCGAGCTGACCGGACCAGGGCGGATCTGGAGCGACATACCGACAGAAAGCCTGCACTACTGGTTTTTGCATGTTTTTGCTATGGATTAGAATGGATTCGATTTAATTGGACCCTTCAGATGTTACGGAAAAACTGCTTGTTCCAGCCATGAATGAGATCCCGACCCTTCAAACTCCTATAGAAACCAAGTCCTTACATAGCTTCCTCAATGCTTGCCATTTCTCTTGAGAAATCCATTTCCACATCCCAACTCCCATCCGAACCACCGGGTCAGGCTCCTTCGCTCCCGGTCCGTCCTTCCGGTCTCCGGGGTCTCTGGGGTCCGCGTGCGAGGTCCGGGAGTACTTCGAGATGTGCCTCAAGGTGCGGATGGAGCAGTGAGGACGTGGTGGGCAGCCCCTACTGGTCATGAGTCAGGAGGGCGACCGGTCGGGAGACCGGCTAAAGGGAGCGGTTCAACGAGCTGAGGGTGTGGATTGGTGGGGGGAACTTGGGAGGATCGGAGGGAGGTGAACTATGGTGATCAATATACAAGAGTGTGAAAGGGAAATGAATGGAGATATCCATTATGATCATTGAGTCTTTGAACAGCTTTGGAAGACAAGACACGCATGGACTTTGCAGAGTTCATGCTTGTTGTTGTTTTCTGGACGCGCAGGTTTCTAGCCGACCCAAAGCCCTTGAGTGGCAGACCCTTGGAACCCTCTTCCTTCAAATCACCCAATCACATGGCAGGTGAACCGGTCTCCCTTCCCCCTTCAAGTCCAGAGAACCTCAGCACAGGTTCTCATCCTTGCCAAAGGCAGGATGAGGGACGAGGCGAGGCGCTGAGCTTCTGTTCGTGGGTGCGGGGGACGACGGCTCGATGCCAGGCGTTTGATGTTCAGGGTTTGGAGGGTGGGTCTTCGGTTGAGGAAGTCATGACAACCCCGGCATGTAGTATATAGATGTCTATAGTATAATTAACGACTATAATTTCTATTGAGACCTAACAAGTCTGGTACGAGGCCAAATCATTGATTGTTTTTTTGTCAATACTTTTTTTGTGACACCAATACTTGTACAACCAAATTTATGAAACTGTAAAAATAAAACGTAAAACATGTAAAAACAAAATTGGCCCTGTGAACCAACTATAAAATTGTCCATACCATGATTCATATTTGTTTCATATTTGTTCAATAAAAGTTCATAGATGTTTATATGTTTCTCGAAATTTATGGAAAAAACACACTAAATTTATGAACGTGTTATGAACGGTGGTATGAAAAGTTTTATGAATTCAGGATTGCTTGTAACTGTTATAAAATTTCGTAAAACATACCCACAATCCTGAGTTCATAAAACGTGTCATACCACTTTTCATATGTTTTTCATAAACTTCGAGAAACAAATACAAATTGACGAATCTGTTTAGATTTTTTTTGTTTAAATCATGGTATGGAAATTTTTATTTTTGGCTCGCAGGGCCTATTATTTTTTACATTTTTTTTTTTCGATTTCATGAATTTGGCTGTATCAGTTTTCAGATAAAAATCATATGTTGAAGTGGTTTGTACCAACTTGCTGGATCTCAAAATTTCTAATTTATTAACTAATGGGTGAATGCAGCCGAGTGCTTTTTGTTCCTGCCAGCGTAGACGACGAGATGCCTGCTTCTGTCTGTCGCAGGGCACATGGTTGGAATGTAGAGAAGTCAGATGAGTCGGCAATGTATCTCTTTTGAATCATGTGTCCTTCTTATTGGCAGATGAATTTGGAGACAACACACACACAGAGTTGCTCACAGTTTTTTCCGGCTTGGAGACAGCCCGAAGGCGAAGGTGGGTATAGGCATAGGCACCATGCCGTGATCTTAAGAGTGAATGGATTCTCGTGCAAGCAGGTTGCAGTGATCACACCCTTTGCCTCAAGAATGACTCGCTCTAGCAGCCTCTAGCAACACCCCGAAACCAACAAGACATATCAAGACCATGAAACTTGCAGCTACCGGTTTGCCCCAAAATAACAATTTTGCTTGCAGGAAAGTCGGGAGTGATGAGGAGGTTCTTGTGTCGTCGGGGGGGCCCTTTGCTTCGGACCTCTGTCAGGAATACAAAGAGGCTTCCGAACAGAGCCCGAATAGCGAGCCTAAGGCAGGTGGCACGCATGGGGCGAGATTGGGTAGTCTGTAGATAAGGATTTTTTTATATATCCAAGTGTTCAACTTTTGGACTTTCATGAGCTGTCAGAGGCAGCTCAGAGGGCTGTCGCGCGCGCGACAAGTCCTCAAGCTAGGCCAAGATTCCCAGGTTCAGAGTTCAGAGATACTGAGAACAGTTGTCCTCAGGCGAGCCCAAGTTGTCCTCAAGTTAGGCCAAGCTATTTGGGACATGCAGAGAAAATGAGGCCTTTCGGGATATGTGAGCCGTCAGGGGTCCCCTTGGATGCAGAGTGGTGGGGACTGTTGTGAAACATTTGAAACCATTCCGAGTCAAGACCTGTGGTTGTTCCGGGTTCTACGATGGATGGATGAGGGAACTCATCAAGCCTGTTTTAGGGCCAATCATCGATCGCACAAGCACTGTTTGTTATGTCCATCGTCCTTTTGTTGTACTCCCTGGAATCATCATACGTGGATGGCCCCGAGTTGGGAGGAGCATGGAAGTACCCGAAAGGAGGGAGGTACTCTCCCTGAGTTCCTCACATGGAAGTGGATCGCACCCATGGAAGTGGATGGCACCCATGGTCCTCCAAATGAGCCATTGGTCATCCATGGTCCTTAGCTCGTCTTAGTTCCAGGGAGTGTAGGTGTTTTGATGTTCGGAGTCCCACTCCCTCACGAGTTGCGACTTGACATGCAGGATCCCCTTTTTTGGGATGGAGGACCGCCTGTGTGTCCCAGAGAATTCATGTATATGACATGTGTGCAATACTAATTTACCTACATGGACCCTCAAAACATCTTAACATCACCCCAATGTAGGCAACTATTCCATACATCACGATGGGTGTGTTTCTTTTTTGCTGGGCCGGTAGCAGGCTCGGCAAGGTTCCTTCTATAACCCGCGAAGGCATTTGGAGCAAACCGGCTTTCGGCCTTCGCCCGGCCTATTTGAGCAGAAATCGGCATGAGGATCAATGATTCCATTATATTCCATTCACCCAGTGATTCACCTCGAAATCAAGACCATCAAGCAGGTCCGAAGAGCTCTCACCTCCCTAGAAATCGTGGGCCTCTTAGTTACCACTCTTCTCTCCACGAACACCTTCCTTTCGCCGTCGAACACGAGGTCGAGATCTCCTCCTGTTGAGCGCTTCGCCTCGCCGGGCCGAGCGGTAGGCGCCTTCCACGCCGCGGTCGGATCGATGGATGTCTGTCTTTGTCTCTGTCTTTGGATGCGGAGTTGGAGGGTTCAAGCAGGTGGGGGTTTTCCAGGAGTTTGAGGGTTCGGAGAAGACATGGAAGACAGAAACCCCACGGTAGAAAGATGGAGATGGATGCTTCCTCCTGAAGGCTCGAGCCAAGGCGTTTGTTAAAGTCAAAATTACTGAGACCGTTGCAAGACCGGCATGCCAAGAATATGATTGGGAGGTCAAAGAACTGCGTTGGTATGCCTTGGTCCTTTTGTTGCAATCATGTCCTGGAAATCGCTTGGTTCACTTGTGTGATTTGTGAGTTACCTCATTTCCATTGTTCTTTGTGGTCTAATCTATGCTGTGCCGGATCCCTGCTGCGTCCATTGTAGACCTCCAGATTTGGGAGTTCTTCTCCTCTTTCTGTGTGTATCAAATTAATAGGAAAACCTTGAGGAAAGACTTGTGTCCAAGACCCCCCCCAGACCCTCCACCTTCACCCAACAGCTCCAGGTCGCACACACGGCGAAGAAAAGGGCGAAGAAAAGCGGAAGTGACAGCAGTTGGATTTGCTGGGTAGAACTCTCCCACTCACATGCATTACACCCCAGTTTAATTCACATGCGATTTGTTTACCCTTGATTGCCAAAGAAGGTCCTTATGTTTGAACATGTTTGTGAGGGGCGCGCATATTCTTTGGGGGAGTGCACGTGTTCAAGCGATCAATGTGCCTCCTGGCAATCAATGCGCTTTCGTGGTGTTACACGGTTTGCTAATTGTTCGCATTTTTGCTGATTCTTTGCAGAGCAGGAAAACCAATTGTTGACAGTTAGAAAGTGTGGCTATGTCAATGTCAAACCAAGAAAGCCATTGCGTGGATGTGTCGGGTGGACTTGGTTGCAAACAGGGTGCGAAGTGTGAAGAGGCTGCAGTCATGTCCCCGCTCCTAGCCACTTGTTTTGCTCGAATGCACACAATAATCATTCATATGATGTTTTTTGGACCCAGGGACGTGTTTATCATAGTCCCCCAAGGAGGTTTCTGGAGGCTCGCAACTTGACAACAAAACGACTTTCCCACAAAGACATCCAAAAAGTAAGACCACTGTGAGGCAAGCAAAACAATCCAAAAGCTCCTTCACCTGAAAACACAGCTGTGCGGCAAACAGCCCTGCCAGTGGCTGCCACTGCTCTCGTCTTCCACCCTTGTGTTCGGCTGTGGGATTCGCTCGCATGCTGGAGGCATGGGTCACTCACGAACGGCGATCTCGATTCGATCGTTCGCCAATCGGTTGGACAACATTTTGACTTGTGATAAAGTTTGCTGATGGGCAGATGCTAGGGGTCACACAGGGTCACACATCGCATCGGCAATGACGAAGATGCATCATCCTTTGAAAAATATGAAGAAGCGCTCGAACGTGTCTTGTTCTGGAACTCTTGAAATGTAGCGACCACCCATTGCATCCAAACTTGACTTTCGCAAATATATGATCGACCCCTTGTAGATTGATAAGTTGAGATTGAAGACTAGACGTTGCTTGTTCGAGTGAGACTAGTTCTTCGTACCTTCAACGCAGCAGTGTTGACATGGGTTTCCCGGCAATCGTCACATTCATCGTTTTCGCCATTCCATTGGGCACAGGCGTAGCCGCCACTGCGTGGACAGACAGCCGTCGAAGGAATGACAAACGAATGGCATGCATGGTGCTAAATTCCGAGGTTGCAACGATGATCTGAACCTTTCGGACAGGGGAAAGTTCAATCATCAACTATCCCCTTTCGTGCGAACTGCTGCAGATTTGGAGGTGCTTTTCTTGGCCGCCTCGTCCTGGATCTTTCTCAAGGGAAGGAAGTGAAAAAGAGCTCGCTTAGCAAGTTTGACAACTGCCAAAAGCATACATATATATATATAAACTCAACCCTTGCCCAATCGCCAACAAGAACTTGGAAGATCAATCGCCAAGTCCTCGGCTGTCACGTCTTGAGCACTTCTTGAACACCTGAAGAATGAAAAAAGGATGGAGCTGAGGACACCCGCTCCTTTTTTGTAGCTTGAAACATGATTGAAATCTTTCAAATCCTTAAAAGAACATCGCAAGCAACGTACCTGTGTAGTTTCAGTCCCAAGAGTCCAATTTTTGATCCGCGATCGGCTTCGTCACGTAGGTCTTGGAGAGATCATTGTTCCGAGAACATGTCCGATCCCTTTCGCGGCGAAACCCCGCGACCGAAGACTCGTAGAACACTTCCGTTGCCATGGAGATTCCGACGAGGGAGGCTGTGGCGGCAGCAGCGGCATGACTCAAATCAGGCGTGCGAAGATCTTGGTACTCCCACTGATGTGGATCCAAGCGGTGAATCGTTTCATGAGGGAGTGAAGTCTGCTCCCAGCCGGGCTCACAGCCCATGAAACACAACTTTAAAACAGTTGTAACTACTTGCTTGGGGGAGTGGAGCAAGCTCATGCGCAGCCAACCATACGTAAACATATCAAATATGTTGACATATCAAAAGAATGTTTAATTAGGCATTGGTCCTTGCCAACATGCCAAGTATTTGTAGATACTTTCTACAAGATCATCTCCAGCCCCCAAAACAAACACTAAAACCACCACTGCCCCAAGTGCCCAGCACCGAGGTTGCACAGATGAACGCAGCGGAGCTGGTGCAAGAGATGGATGAAGGGACCTGCCGAGCCCTGCAGAAGGCGCAGCCTTGGCCGCCGCCCTGGGGCGGGTCGCGCCGTGCGGTGAGGAGGAGGAACCCAGCGGATGTGCAGCTTGTTTATGCAAGGTGTAAAGGGCTGTGAGTCCAAAGCTGGATCCCTAAAGCCCTTTGGGTTGACCTCCTCGGTCGTTGATTCTCTTCGTTTGGACCTTGGTCAACCGGTCGGTCCCCTGGCCATGACCCACAGCCAAGCGCCAAAAAGGGCTCCAGCCGATGGTCCAATGAGTGTTTCTGGTCAAATGCTCGAGTGTGAGTCCGAAGCCTTCTTTATGTCTGAACGATGCCTTCGCAACACCACTCAGTCTACGAGGCTCTGTGGTCCCTGCGAGGCCCTGTTGTTCCACGTTGGCATCATTGAAGATCAACAAGAGTGTTGCCCGTGCGTCAAACCATGTCAAACCCATTGTTTTTTGCGTGCTATGCCATTGCGCATCATACGAGAAAGCGGCACTTCTATTGTGCAAAGTGGATTTCTTCTGAGAGCGGACACTTTGCTTGGTGGAACTCAGAACTCTCATGAGAGCGCATGATGAGAGAGCACGTGGGGTAATAAACACCGGTAAATTATACCTGTCAGAACCACATGATAGGGGGCCTGTGGGAAGGGCCCTTGCACGGGCCATTCCCACTGTTGCACAGGCCGTGTAGTTCACGGCCTGCCCTCCTTGTGGCAGGTCACTTCAGGTGAGGTGAGGTATGGCAGTGTCACCCGATCGGGTACCTTCCACGACAAAAGGGGGCAAACATAAAACAGATGAATAGCAATCCTAATAGTGTGCAACTTCTTATTGCTTCAAGCACATGAACCATTCCACAGCTGGAATCTTTATAACAGCGGCACCGGGCGTCCCGTCCAGTCGCTCCACCTACGTCCGTAGGCGCTCGGCCGGCGGTTGGGCGACGTGCCAGCCGCGCGGGGCTGGTTCGGCTTTTGCGGCGGCGGCGCGAAGATGGAGGGCAGCTCGTCCAAGATGGAGGCCATGCAGGCGAGGGGGGTGAAGGGGGCGAGCAGGTTAGAAGATGGGAGGTAGAGGAAAAACTACATATCAATACTTTTGTTGGTGGCATGATATGGAAAAATAGTGGAAAAAGATGAGGGATATGTCTTAAATGCAATGTTCACAATTTCATGTTTGTTGCGTCCATCCCAAGAGTCGATGGGACCAGCAACCGCTTTGTGGGACGAGCTGGATCATGACGGATGAGGACCGCCGGTCCGAACACCGAGTCGACCCGGCTTTCAGGAGCGAATGGACGCCCTGTTGGCCAGCCACGCGCAAGTGAAGCAGAGTCTCCAGGAGGCGGAGAACGACGCAGGGAAAATGCTTTCGGAGACTGAAGTGTTGCACAACACTGGGATGCCTCTTCCTGCTATCTTCCAAGGCAAACACTCCACAAGGCCCACAGGGCAAAACCGGTGATGTCGGATGGTCGCAGATGTGGTTCTTTTCCTCTTCTTCCTTGCAGGCAGAAGAGAAAGTCAGAGAAATGGAGGCGAACCAGGGCAAACTTTGTGTGTTCGATCTTGGAGTCTCTATAGGTAACACTGTTACAGGTCGACCTCATCCTGGAGTCTCAAAAGGTCACGACCTGAAGGTCCTGGTACTCAATTCATATAGCCGGCAAGCGAGGAGCGACCTTAAAACGATTCCAATGATTGAGTTCAGCAAGGACTACAGCGAACCTCGAAAATCCGTATTCGCCTATCATCAGCCACAGCCAGTTGCAGGATTCAACACTCGGCTTTGACTGGAGGTGGACCTGGCTTGCCCACATGATCCTCGGGGGTTTCAGAGCAGTCAGAGCAGCTGTCAGGCTGAAAAGCGGAAGCTGGAGAACGAGTTGAAAGTAAAGGAACGAGAGGAGAACGAGCTGTCGTTTGATCATTCAATGATTCAAGATTCTCAGCCCGTTTGGGCTCCAGTCGGACCTTCTTAGAAGGTGGGACTGGGGTGGGTGCCAGGAGGGTCCAAATACCTTCTAAGGAGGTACTTGGAGCCCTAGGTCCTAGGTCAGAGCATTCAATTGCCAGCCAATTCAACTGGTTCTTGGTTGACTGTGTCGAAGAGAGTCTTGACTTGTTACTTTGCAAATTGACTTGTGCCACCGAACAGGACGAACCTCCTGTGGTGCGGTGGCCCAGAGAGTTTCTGCGAAGTATTGTTCCCTACTGAAGTCGTTCGGAATATTTATTAAAATCTCATTCCCCATATCTGGACGAAAGACTTGGACACACCAGTGCAGTTTTGGAGATCTCAGAAAGAAGCATACACTAGCCTTCCATAACTTGATGATGTTCTACGCTTCAAACATCTGGAAACCATCAAAGCACGGTCCTTCGTCGAGCCTGGCACAGGAATTCTCTTTCAGCACGCAGGACATCCCCAAGTGTTCCCAGTTCCACCGTGATCGAACACAAAAAGGGCATGGTTTGACTGTTTGACCAACGGTTTTCCATGCGTTGGCACCCAAACCTTGCGGCTTTGCTGACTCCGATCCCATTCACCCCGATCCCGATCACGAAGACCTCGCGCAGACTCCGAAGACCTCGCCAGGAGTCTTCGCCTTCGCCCAAGGCGAAGGCCAAGGCGAAAGGAAAGTCCAAGACAAAGCCGAAGGCGGAACATGACCAGACACAGATCAACAGGAAACTTACTGCTTTGTTCAGGAGATGTGGGAAAAAACAAAGCATCATGTGAGTTACATGCACCAAAACATCTGTGAGCAGCTGCGAACTAAGCAAAGCCGCTTTTCTAAGGACATTAGATTGATACAATTTCATCCAGAGTTTCTAAAGAGTTGATTGCAGGCATC